GCTGGAAGATGAAGATGGGCTGGCAGGACCAGATGGTAAGGGGCTAAGGTCCTCTGGTTAAAAGCATGCACTTTATTCTTCAGGCAAAGGCGAGATGAAGCAGAAAAAATTTAACATGCAAATTTGATACCAGTGCTTCTAAAGAAGGCAGAACACCTGTCCGAGTTTAAACACCATATAGGTCCACTATCTGTTAGCCTAAAATGGAAAATAAATTTTAAGCCTGAATATTTGAAACCATGAGCAATTTGCTCATTAACAATGGACATGGAACCTATTCTTACCACTTTTCATTTCTTCCATGACCACTGTTATGCTGATCATTGCTATGACAACAGCAGATAAAATCTATTGAGTTTACTATGTGCCTTGTACTAGGTTGTTTTACATTTGTTATCCAATGCTCACAACACCCTTATGAGGGGTACTATTAACCCCATTTTACAGATGGGAAAACTAAAGCAAAGAGAGGTTATGGTCAGATGGCTAGTGGGTGTTAAGAGAGGATTCAAATCTAGGCTGCCTGACTCCAAAGCCCTAAAATTAAATCAATCTGCTGGACTGATATTGCTCAGTTCATTTACACCATTTGCTCAAAAATTACGTGTGTACCTACCGTAATTTAAAGCATCATGCTAGGTCAATGATTCTCAAACTTTACTGTTCAGAAGACACACCTAGGCAGATTCCTAGATTCTGATTCAGTAAGTCTAGGGTGGAATTTTCACAGATCTGAAATTTTAACCATAAATTCAGTCAATTCTGATTCACTTGATCCAGGAACCGAACTCTGATAAACCTCGTGTTAGGTGTCCTAGAGGCTGGAGGGTACTTGAGCCTCCTGTCCTCTATGAGTTTACAACCTAAAAGGGGTAAAAACAAGGTACACTAATAATACAAAGCAATACAGAAAAAGTGGTATGGCCAATACAGGCAGGAAAGACTTCAGGAAGAGGGGTCATCTGTAATGAAATGAAGATGAGGAGGATTTCACGAAGTAAGGAAACACATTTCCCGCAGACTTTCAGGAATAATGTTACATACGCAGGAAGGTACGACCATTAGACAGCTTGGCAAGAGCAGAGGATCTGCACTTAGGAATGGAAAAATAATGTCACAAAAGCAGCAGAGGCTGTAGAACGCCCTCCACGTCCACCTAAACAGCATGGGCCTTATTCAGTGCCGGCCCTGGATGCTGCGAATGGTTTTTGCGGAGGGAAATGATAAATTACAGCAATATTCTTTGGAAGAGTACTCCGATGAAGCTATGCAAGATCCAGTAGAACGAGAATAACAGGCAATGGGAATAGCTAGGCTGTTAGCATTCTAATCTCAAAGAAAGAAAAGAACAGAGTAGTGGAAAAGATGAAAAAGGGAGGAATGGTAACTCTTAATGACTAAATGCATGTAGGGCAACGGCAACAATCACAGCAAAATGATTTCTTCACCTCTTAAGTCCAAATTGTATCACTATCAGTTTTATGTTACTTTTTAGAACTTTGTCTTATATAGCTAACTAGGCCCAAAATACATCGACTTCACTTATTTTAAACACAGCCCACGACTAAGAGGTCAGTAAACAGGCCTCTGAGCAGCCAAAATACATGTCACATAGTTCATACACTAAAAAGAAAAAAAAAGTATAAAGTATTATATATATATAATATATAACACACATATATAGTATATATGTATGTATATATATAGTAGTATACAATATATAGTATAACATACATATATTATATATATAAACGAAAAAGCATTATTCAGAGCTACAGAATCTCATTTTACACCAAGTTCTAACAAATGTAAACAACTCATTTCCAACAGCAGTTTGGAAGCAAAAATTATAAAGGGAAAGAGCTGCTATAAGTGGACATACTTAAGAGTATGAGGTTCAAGAGAAGAAATGAAAACTATAAAAAAACACACACAATCACTCAGGGTAAATTCTCCACAACTGTTTATTGACAGGTACACATGATTCCCAGCAAAGTGAAATTAATGAGAATCTTCCTTAATGTTCCAAATGCCTACCACAAAAAGAAATTTTTAAACATTCTTTAAAGCTAAATATTTTAAAACAAATATTTAGCTGATTAAAAGATAATTTTTAAAGGATAGCTGATACATGCCAACACAGCCCCTCTCATCAGTAATCAAGATAGTCAATACACAGTTAAAGGTAAGAAAGACATATTTTATAACACACAAAGTTTGAAGATGATAAGAATGTTTTATAAAGCATCTAATCAACAATGTGGCCCCACTGATGAAGTTTAATTTCGGGAATTCTTTCCTGATGGCCTTGCCTTAGAATACCATGTTTTAAATAATATGAAGGTGTCCTCAACAAAAATTAACACTATTGAATTGGTCTTAAATACACACCCCATAAATTTACCTACTGAAATCAGGCAACACCATTTGACACTCAATGTCCTGTACTAATAGGCTGTGTGACAACTTTTTAAAAGGACTTTAAACACAGCAACACATGAAGGCCTCTCACTCTGTTCACCAATACTCACTAACATTTATTATAATATTATTCATATAAGGACCTCATCTATTTTATAAACAGATGAAAACATCACTTTCATGGGGGTAATCAAGATGTTAACTAACTCAGTTATACTTAAGTTTATGATTAAGTTCAAAATATATACTAAAGCCATGAACCTATACCTATAATTATGTAGAAAATTGTTACCATATATTAATTATTGGAGTAAGAAGAGTTTAGGTTTCAGCTTGAGATTTTTTTAAATAGCAGAGAAGCAAATCACTGTATATTTACAACACCATAACATTAAAATAAAATTACCTTAACTATGTTGTAGGATCAACTAAAATGAACTAGGCCTCTCATATTTCTGACATACAAAATGATAGAGAAAATTAAAGCACACACTTATTTCAAAAATTTCAGGGGCCAGCCCAGTGGCGTAGCAGTTAAGTGTGTGCACTCTGCTTCGGAGGCCCAAGGGTTCGCAGGTTCGGATCCTGGGCGCACACCGACGCACCGCTTGTCAAGCCATGCTGTGGCCGCATCCCATATAAACTAGAGGAAGAAGGGCACAGATGTTAGCCCAGGGCCAATCTTCCTCAGCAAAAAGAGGAGGGTTGGCATTGGATGTTACCTCATGGCTGATCTTCCTCACATAAAAAAAAAATTTCATAGGGGCCAGCCCTGTGGCATAGCGGTTAAGTTCGGTGAGCTGTGCTTTGGTGGCCTGGGTTCACGGGTTCCGATCCCAGGCGCAGACCTACACCACACATCAGCCATGCTGTGGCAGGGACCCACATATAAAGTAGAGGAAGACTGGCACAGACGTTAGCTCAGGGCTGATCTTCCTCAAGCAAAAAAAGAGGAAGACTGGCAGCAAATGTTAGCTCAGTGTGAATCTTCCTCAGCAAAAAAAAAAAAAAATTTCATGAAATGATCAGGCAACATTAAGATTATAGTACAGAACACAAATATGCTACATGTTATAAATATGTAAATAAATGAAGCAGTCAATTGCATCTGGTTGGTTCTGCCTCCACTCCTCCAATCTATCTCCTTATAATCACCCTTGCTCTCTAGAAGCATGCAACATGAAGACATTAATTGAAGCCAAAGAAATGTGCCTTGGAGACAGTGTTTTTCAAACTGCAACTTGTGACCCATAAATCAATTTAGTGGATTTCAGTCAGCACTTTTTAATGACAGAGAATGGAATATAATAGAAATTATCAGAATGCATCACATATAATAAGGGTAAATACTGCTTTGTGAAACTTTTTGTTCATACGTAGGCATGAACTAGATTATGATGTAAAATGTACTTCTTGCTATGGGGCATGATAAAAAAAAGTTTGAAAGCTCCTACCTAGAGATCTAGGTCTAATGTCTTGGGAGCCAAAGACTGAATGTTTTCATTAGTCCTCAGCACCTACACAGAATCTCTTTGCTCAAGATGGACTCTTGGAAACCAATTTAAGAGGTCCAGGGCAGCACAAAAAGAACTGGGACAAGCCTCAGCTAAGCATGTATTTGGACCTGAAAGGACTGCTAACTTCTCCCAACAGCAGGCCTAGGCGGTGCTGACAAGCTCCCGGTAGCTTAGCAACCTTCAGAGCAGAGCTCCTCGTTCCTCAACCAACGGTAACCGGTAAACAGTTGAACTCTTCCAACCAACTTTCTTTCAACTACAACTTCTAAAATCACTGTGTCCCAAGAGAAGGCAGTATTAAATCTCCTCACTTCACCAATTCCCAGAATGTCTTCCTAGGAGAGGACCTAGAACTCTATACTCCCCATTCTCAACACAGATCCTTATATTCCCCTCCTCCTCCCAGATCCTAGGACAGGGTACCCTCCTCCCAGGCCCCATCTTACTCCAATCCTCTCCTTCTCAGCGTCACCCAACTTGGGGGTAAAACGATTCTCCCAGAAGCCCTCATTAAACTACCGCATCCTTTTACCAGCCCCAGGAAGGAGAAGGCCTAGTGTCCCAGGAGCCTGGGAATGCCCACCCTCTCCTTTCCCCTCTCTGGGGACACGGCCTCTATTTTTTTTTTTTTTTTCCGGATTCAGTGGGTCAGAGACAAGTTTCCTGTTTCCCCAGCAGCCCCAGACTCATCTCCATCTCCTACCAGCCAGGGGGCATCTTCCCATCCGCCACGCCGCTGGGGCACAGTGAGAAGCCTGGATTCTCCCAGGAATTCAGACAGGCCCCCCACACACCCTCCCCCCCAACCCGGGGCCAGACTCCCTCTCCCAGCCCAGGGCCCTCCCCGCCCCGCTAGCCCAGGTCAGCCCCATCCTCCCTCCAGCCCCGCGCAGGTGTCCCATCCCTCCCCTTCTCCCAGGCAGGCCTCGCCCCGCTCCGAGTTCTTCCCGGTGTTTCCTCACACGGCACCCCAGTAGGAGCGGCCCTCCGCGCCTCGGCTCCGGCGGGGAGCGCCTCGGGCCTCGAGAGCCCGGCGGAGCCGGCAGGCCGGGCTCCACTCACCCCTCGGCCCGGGAGGCGGGGGAGCTGCTGCGGCGGCTCCTCGGGCTGCGCCTCGCCTCCCCCCTCCCGGCCACTGCCGTCGCCGCCGCGCAGCCTCCGGCCTCGTCCCGGCCGGCCCCGGACCGGCTCCGCTTCACCTCGGCCCCCACTCTGGCCGCCGGAGCCCGGTGTCCTGCATTGACCCGGAAGCAGCTTTCGCGGCCCAACAACAACACGTGACCCTGTCGCACGTGTCACGTCCGCTGCGTAAATGGGAGGGGGCGCTGGAGGAGTGGGTCCTCCCCAACCAAGCCGGGTTGCCATGGCGACAGGGATGCCTGTACTAGCCTGGTTATCACTAGAAACACACCTCGTCTGCTCTTTCTCTAGCCCATCATTTGAAGGGACACTCCCAGGTGCAAAGGAGGAGTACAAATGGTCACATCAGAGTGAAATAGGGTCAGGTCAGAGTAAAGCCTGGGCCGCTGAGAGGCTGCTGCCTTACAGAAAGGAGCTGAACATTTCCACACTTACCTGGAATCTTCTCCTGGCTCTGACACTAATTTGCTGTGTGACCTTGATCAACTCACTTCCTGTCTCTGACTTCAGTATCCTCACTAGGTGAGCTCTAGGCTGTGATCTAATTTGATCCTAAGATACTTTTGCATCAGAATGTGGTAGCACTCTGGCCTTTATTCTGTGTCCCCTTTGCAAGGCCTGCAGCATCCTGAGTTTTCAGTGCTCAGCACCCATGGAGTCATACCAGCTTCCATTCATTGAGCCCCTTCTAGGTACCAGGCACTGTTACATATGCTATTTCTAATTTTTACAACATTCCGAAAGTAGGTGTTTTGTAGAATCGAAAACTGATGTTCACAGAGGTTAAGTGATCCGCCCAAGACCAGAGAGTCAGTAAAACTGACCAGGCTGAGATTTGAATCCAGGTCAGTCTGGCACCAAAGTCAAGTCCACGCACTTCACATTATACCATGCTGTTGCTCCAGCTCCATACACGTTATATCTGACCATTCAGCTGTGATTGCTTAAGTGCTTCTTTGTCCATTTCTTTTGCAGGAACGTACACGGAATAGGGACGGTGCTGGCTGATCCTGAAGAGAATTCAGCCTTGTTTGGATATGTTAGCTGAAGTGCTAGGAGTCGAAGAGATCTACATGCATAAAGTGTGTGTGCTTTCATGCAGTGTGTGTTAGGGAGCAGGCGAGGGATTGTGATGTGCATGCACGTGTATATATTGGTTCCTAGGTGGGGAACATAAAGTTCTTTAGGGGGGGACCCAATAGCAGCTTATCACCATCAGTTTCTGGGGACTTCCGTCTCTCATTTTGTTTTGTTTTGTTTTATCCTCTAGGTAGGGCATAGAGTTAGAGGGGAAAAAGCCCAAAAGAGCTTATTAAAGAAATTGCTCTGAGGACCAAGGGGAGGGTAAGCCAAGCAGTGTGGCTTAGGTTGCTGACGTGGGGACGTCCCTCCTCCTTCTTCAGAGAACAGAGCGCCTTTCTGGCACCTTAGGATTAATGGCTTTGGGAGAATCAAGATCATTGGCATGACCACTGTCAGTAGTAGCCTCAGCAACAAGGACCATGAGAAGAGCAGAGAGAAGTATCCACAGAGGAGGAAGAACAAGGTGGTTGCCGCATGGACACTTTGTTGATAGACTTACTTGTGAGCTCAGGTACACTTGGGGACACCCAGAAACACTTAGGAGGCTAGATGTCCCATGAGCAACTAGGAAAAAATGCAAGAAATGTGGGTCATTACTGTTAAATACTGGGTATAATATGTAAAGACATATGAGTATTGTCGGTGCCTGGGTATGCCTAGTTATATACTTCTTTGTTTCTTTGAGATATCCTTGAGTCATTTTTCTTTTCTTCCCATCTCTGCCCTTATAGAGCAAGCTCTTAAGATCGATTTCTCTACCCATCTCCTGTCTATCTCCGTAAGACAGCCAAAATTATCTTTCTAAAACTCGTATCTGATCACATTATTCCCTGGAGCTTAAAATCCTTCAGAGACTCCCCAAGGCTTTCAGGGTAAAGTCACAATTATTAAGATGCTCCTCAAGGCTTTTCACCATCTGGGCCCTGCTGACATCTCCAGCCTCATCTTTTGCCTGTCTCTTCTTGTTCTATACCTGCTCTGTTCAACCTGGTAGCCACTAGCCACACGTGGCTATTTAAATTTAACTTAATTAAAATTAAGCTAAAATTGCATTTCCTGAGTTACATGACACTAGCCACATTTCAAGTGCTCAGTAGCCATATGTGGCTAGTGGCTATCATTTGGAGTGCCAATACAGAATATTTTCATCATCACAGAAAGTTCTATTGGGCAGTGCTGCTCTATACCCTCAATTCCTCATGTATGAAATGTTCTATGGGAATTCACTCTGCTAAGCCCTTTGCTTGAAACATTTTTCTTCCACCTCCTTGAACTGACAACTATACACAATTGCTTATTTTCTTATTGTCTCCTTAACAAACATGTCAGTCTCAATGAAGGCAGGAGTTAGGTGTATCTTTTCATCATTGATTCTCCAATGTCTCTAAAGGATTGTCATATAGAAAAAGGAGACAGCGGATGTTGAATTAAAGTGAGAGGAAGTAGTAGAAAGATAAATTTCTAGTCATTTTATTAGAAATTGTTGATAATTCAATTGTTTTGACCTACAAACAGCAATTTTATATGGTTCAACCTAATAATAAGGAAGAACTTTGGCAGAATTGAAGCTGCTTCAGTTGGTTCTAATGAGTTCCTTGTCACTGGGATAGATTAAGCAAAGGCAGAATCTGTTAGAATAATGTAGGAGTAATTCCTGAATCAGTTAGATTGGTTGACCAGTCTGATTCTAAGATTCTAAGTCTGTGTTCCTCCAACTGAGTCTTTTATTCAGGGTTGAGTATGCTATCACAACAATCATAGCTACGATCTGTGTGCCAGACACTGCTCGAGATATTTCACAGAGATTATTTCCTTTAATCTTCACAATGACCTTATGAACTACATTGGGGGTCATCAGATTTACCAAATGAGACTCAGGTTAAGTAATACACCCAGAAACAAACAGCTAGTAAATGGCAGAGGCTGAATTCATATTTCAGCCAGTCTGACACCAGAATCTGAGTTCATAATAACCCTGTAAATATGGGCTATAGTTCTAACATGACATTTCAGTCATAGATTTGCATGTCCTTTTAATTCAACAAATGTGTGTTTTATAATGGATGTCTTCCTTGCACTTAGCTTGGTGGTTTGAGGAAAACAAAGATGGATAAGGCATGGTCCCTACAATGCAGTTGGAAAGATCATGTGTATGCTCAAATAACAGTGATATAGGACAATTAAAGGTATATTATTTTAAAAAGGGGATAAGGTAGTCATCCTCTTAGCTGAAGCCTTCTCCCAAGTAGGCAAAAGGATAAGAACAGAATTATATGAGAATTCACAACATCAGTACACAGGTGGGAACACAGGAGAAGAGAAAAATATCAGCTTCACTTGAAAGAATAATGACTGGTTTGGCAATTAAGAGTATGCAGTATTGATCCTGGTTTTTCCACTAACCAGCCATGTCGCTTGATCTCTTTCTGCCTTAGAGCTGTATCTACCAAATACCTGGACTGGATAAACTACCAAGGTGAACCAACTAAAATTGTATGTAAAATATTATGTATATACATATATTATACATATGTGCATTTTCAAGAGGAAGTGCCATAGATTCCATCAGATTCACAAAGAAATCAACTCAAATTTTAGGCTTCATCGTCGCTTTAAATTCTGCGATTCTATATTTTATTTTTATCAACATTAGTGACGTATCTGTCAGGAAATGGACTCTCATGCTAAGCTTAGTGACCAAGCAAAAGGCAGAGATATTTTTATTTTAAACTGTAGAGTCATAACTAGAACTATTTAGAAAGCATGCAGATTTCCTTATTGGGCAGAATATAGTCTTGAAAAAGCAACTCAATTTGGGTTTCTGCAATTTACATAAATGGATCAGTCGTAAGAAGCTTAATTTCCGAGGAGGCCTTACATTTATTAAAATCATTTGCAACAAATTGCTAGAAGCCTCACTAACCCCTCTTAGTTTTTTTTTTATTGTGAAAATAACATACATACAGAAAACTATACATACATAATGTATATAAATATACAGCTCAGTGAATTATCTCTAAGCAAAACCCACGTAAACACCACCCTATTGAGTCACAGAACACTGCCAGATTCCCAAACCCTCCCCGCCATCACTATCCCCACCACTCTCCCCAAAGTTAACTACTATTCTGACTTTTATTATTGTAGCTTATTTTCCTCTGCTTTTAAACATTAAGTAAATGGAATCAAATGAGATGATCTCTTTCATTTAACACTGTGAGTCAGCATGTTGTTGCATATAGCTGTAGTTTATTCATTTTTGTTGCTAAATAGTATTTTATATTATAATCACACCACAATTTATTTATCCATTCCACTGTTGAAGGACATTTGGGTTGTTTCCAGTTTTTAGCTGTTATGCATAACGCTACTATGAACATTCTTGTGTTTAACTTTTAGTGCGCATATATACACATTTCTGTTGGGAATATACCCAGGCATAAAACTGATGGATCATAGCTTTAGATCAGCACTGTCCAATAGAAATATAGTGCAAGTCAAGTCACATATGTAATCTAAACTTTTCTAGTAGGCATATTAAAAAGGTAAAAAAAAAGTGAAATTAATATTAATCATGCGTTTTATTAACCCAATATACCCAAAATATTATCATTTCAACAAGTCATCAATATGAAAATTTTTAATTAGATATTTTACATGTTTTTTTACGTATTAAATCTTCAATTTGATGTGTATTTTACATTTATAGCAACTTGGACTAGCCACATTTCAAGTGCTCAGAGTGCTCTCACTGAATCAAGTGTGGCTATTAACTACTACGTTGGACAGTGCAGCTTTTGGTAATACTAACAGACAGTTTTCCAAAGTGCTTGTGCTGGTTTCCACTCCTGACAGCAGTGTACGAGAGTTACAGTTGTTCCACATCTTCATCAACACTTGGTACTGAGTCTTTAATTTCAGCCATTCTGGTGGTTCTACAGTAGTATCTTGTTTTGGTTTAATTTGCATTTCCTTGTTGATAAGGAGGTTGAGTATCTTTTCATACGTTTATTGGCCGATTGATATT